GTCCCCACGCCGGGACTGCAGCTCCAGTCCCCACGCCGGGACTGCAGCTCCAGTCCCCACGCCGGGACTGCAGCTCCAGTCCCCACGCCGGGACTGCAGCTCCAGTCCCCACGCCGGGACTGCAGCTCCAGTCCCCACGCCGGGACTGCAGCTCCAGTCCCCACGCCGGGACTGCAGCTCCAGTCCCCAAGCCGGGACTGCAGCTCCAGTCCCCACGCCGGGACTGCAGCTCCAGTCCCCACGCCGGGACTGCAGCTCCAGTCCCCACGCCGGGACTGCAGCTCCAGTCCCCACGCCGGGACTGCAGCTCCAGTCCCCAAGCCGGGACTGCAGCTCCAGTCCCCAAGCCGGGACTGCAGCTCCAGTCCCCACGCCGGGACTGCAGCTCCAGTCCCCACGCCGGGACTGCAGCTCCAGTCCCCACGCCGGGACTGCAGCTCCAGTCCCCAAGCCGGGACTGCAGCTCCAGTCCCCATGCCGGGACTGCAGCTCCAGTCCCCAAGCCGGGACTGCAGCTCCAGTCCCCAAGCCGGGACTGCAGCTCCAGTCCCCACGCCGGGACTGCAGCTCCAGTCCCCACGCCGGGACTGCAGCTCCAGTCCCCACGCCGGGACTGCAGCTCCAGTCCCCACGCCGGGACTGCAGCTCCAGTCCCCAAGCCGGGACTGCAGCTCCAGTCCCCAAGCCGGGACTGCAGCTCCAGTCCCCACGCCGGGACTGCATGCACCTCCAGTCCCCACGCCGGGACTGCAGCTCCAGTCCCCAAGCCGGGACTGCAGCTCCAGTCCCCACGCCGGGACTGCAGCTCCAGTCCCCACGCCGGGACTGCAGCTCCAGTCCCCACGCCAGGACTGCAGCTCCAGTCCCCACGCCGGGACTGCAGCTCCAGTCCCCAAGCCGGGACTGCAGCTCCAGTCCCCAAGCCGGGACTGCAGCTCCAGTCCCCACGCCGGGACTGCAGCTCCAGTCCCCACGCCGGGACTGCAGCTCCAGTCCCCACGCCGGGACTGCATGCACCTCCAGTCCCCACGCCGGGACTGCAGCTCCAGTCCCCACACCGGGACTGCAGCTCCAGTCCCCACGCCGGGACTGCAGCTCCAGTCCCCACGCCGGGACTGCAGCTCCAGTCCCCACGCCGGGACTGCATGCGCCTCCAGTCCCCACGCCGGGACTGCAGCTCCAGTCCCCACGCCGGGACTGCAGCTCCAGTCCCCATGCCGGGACTGCAGCTCCAGTCCCCACGCCAGTACTGCAGCTCTAGTCCCCAAGCCAGGACTGCAGCCCCAGTCCCCAAGCCAGGACTGCAGCTCCAGTCCCCACGCCGGGACTGCAGCTCCAGTCCCCACGCCGGGACTGCAGCTCCAGTCCCCAAGCCGGGACTGCAGCTCCAGTCCCCATGCCGGGACTGCAGCTCCAGTCCCCAAGCCGGGACTGCAGCTCCAGTCCCCACGCCGGGACTGCAGCTCCAGTCCCCACGCCGGGACTGCAGCTCCAGTCCCCACGCCGGGACTGCAGCTCCAGTCCCCACGCCGGGACTGCAGCTCCAGTCCCCAAGCCGGGACTGCAGCTCCAGTCCCCAAGCCGGGACTGCAGCTCCAGTCCCCACGCCGGGACTGCATGCACCTCCAGTCCCCACGCCGGGACTGCAGCTCCAGTCCCCAAGCCGGGACTGCAGCTCCAGTCCCCACGCCGGGACTGCAGCTCCAGTCCCCAAGCCGGGACTGCAGCTCCAGTCCCCACGCCGGGACTGCAGCTCCAGTCCCCACGCCGGGACTGCAGCTCCAGTCCCCACGCCAGTACTGCAGCTGTAGTCCCCAAGCCAGGACTGCAGCTCCAGTCCCCAAGCCGGGACTGCACCTCCAGTTCCCACGCTGGGTCTGCAGCTCCAGTCCCCACGCCGGGACTGCAGCTCCAGTCCCCACGCCGGGACTGCAGCTCCAGTCCCCACGCCGGGACTGCAGCTCCAGTCCCCACGCCGGGACTGCAGCTCCAGTCCCCAAGCCGGGATTGCAGCTCCAGTCCCCAAGCCGGGACTGCAGCTCCAGTCCCCAAGCCGGGACTGCAGCTCCAGTCCCCAAGCCGGGACTACATCTCCAGTCCCCACGCCGGGACTGCAGCTCCAGTCCCCACGCCGGGACTGCAGCTCCAGTCCCCACGCCGGGACTGCAGCTCCAGTCCCCAAGCCGGGATTGCAGCTCCAGTCCCCAAGCCGGGACTGCAGCTCCAGTCCCCAAGCCGGGACTGCAGCTCCAGTCCCCAAGCCGGGACTGCACCTCCAGTCCCCACGCTGGGACTGCAGCTCCAGTCCCCACGCCGGGACTGCAGCTCCAGTCCCCACGCCGGGACTGCAGCTCCAGTCCCCACGCCGGGACTGCAGCTCCAGTCCCCAAGCCGGGATTGCAGCTCCAGTCCCCAAGCCGGGACTGCGGCTCCAGTCCCCACGCTGGGACTGCAGCCCCAGTCCCCAAGCCGGGACTGCAGCTCCAGTCCCCACGCCAGGACTGCAGCTCCAGTCCCCACGCCGGGACTGCAGCTCCAGTCCCCACGCCGGGACTGCAGCTCCAGTCCCCACGCCGGGACTGTAGCTCCAGTCCCCACGCCGGGACTGCAGCTCCAGTCCCCACGCCGGGACTGCAGCTCCAGTCCCCGCGCCGGGACTGCAGCTCCAGTCCTCACGCCGGGACTGCAGCTCCAGTCCCCACGCCGGGACTGCAGCTCCAGTCCCCACGCCGGGACTGCAGCTCCTGTCCCCAAGCCGGGACTGCAGCTCCAGTCCCCACGCCGGGACTGCAGCTCCAGTCCCCACGCCGGGACTGCAGCTCCAGTCCCCACTCCGGGACTGCAGCTCCAGTCCCCAAGCCGCGACTGCAGCTCCAGTCCCCACGCCGGGACTGCAGCTCCAGTCCCCACGCCGGGACTGCAGCTCCAGTCCCCATGCCGGGACTGCAGCTCCAGTCCCCAAGCCGGGACTGCAGCTCCAGTCCCCAAGCCGGGACTGCAGCTCCAGTCCCCAAGCCGGGACTGCAGCTCCAGTCCCCACGCCGGGACTGCATGCACCTCCAGTCCCCACGCCGGGACTGCAGCTCCAGTCCCCACGCCAGGACTGCAGCTCCAGTCCCCACGCCGGGACTGCAGCTCCAGTCCCCACGCCGGGACTGCAGCTCCAGTCCCCACGCCGGGACTGCAGCTCCTGTCCCCAAGCCGGGACTGCAGCTCCAGTCCCCACGCCGGGACTGCAGCTCCAGTCCCCACGCCGGGACTGCAGCTCCAGTCCCCACTCCGGGACTGCAGCTCCAGTCCCCAAGCCGCGACTGCAGCTCCAGTCCCCACGCCGGGACTGCAGCTCCAGTCCCCACGCCGGGACTGCAGCTCCAGTCCCCAAGCCGCGACTGCACCTCCAGTCCCCACGCTGGGACTGCACCTCCAGTCCCCACGCTGGGACTGCAGCTCCAGTCCGCAAGCCGGGACTGCAGCTCCAGTCCCCAAGCCGGGACTGCAGCTCCAGTCCCCACGCCGGGACTGCATGCACCTCCAGTCCCCACGCCGGGACTGCAGCTCCAGTCCCCACGCCAGGACTGCAGCTCCAGTCCCCACGCCGGGACTGCAGCTCCAGTCCCCACGCCGGGACTGCAGCTCCAGTCCCCACGCCGGGACTGCAGCTCCTGTCCCCAAGCCGGGACTGCAGCTCCAGTCCCCACGCCGGGACTGCAGCTCCAGTCCCCACGCCGGGACTGCAGCTCCAGTCCCCACTCCGGGACTGCAGCTCCAGTCCCCAAGCCGCGACTGCAGCTCCAGTCCCCACGCCGGGACTGCAGCTCCAGTCCCCACGCCGGGACTGCAGCTCCAGTCCCCAAGCCGCGACTGCACCTCCAGTCCCCACGCTGGGACTGCACCTCCAGTCTCCACGCTGGGACTGCAGCTCCAGTCCGCAAGCCGGGACTGCAGCTCCAGTCCCCACGCCGGGACTGGAGCTCCAGTCCCCAAGCCGGGACTGCAGCTCCAGTCCCCAAGCCAGGACTGCACCTCCAGTCCCCAATCTGGGACTGCAGCTCCAGTCCCGAAGCTGGGACACGCGGTGCAGGTGGTGCAGCGTATGAGCGGTCGGTGCAGCGTATGAGCGGGCGGTGCTGTGTTCAACACTCACGCTCACCACTGTGACAAATGCTTCTTCCCCTGCCCCTCTCCTTCTCTCCGAACCCTCTCCCCCTTTCCCACAGCAAGGATTCCTGGGCGGGCAACCACATCGCCTCCCTCGTATCTCTTTTGAGTCAGCTCAGAAGTCCGTCTCCTTTCCCCCTTTCTCCCACTTTCTCCCCCTCCCCCTTTCCCCCAGCAACTATTCCTAGCGGGCAACCACATCTCCTCCCTCACATCTCTTTTGAGTTGACTGAAAAGTTGCTCCTTTCCCCCCATCTCCCCCTCCCTTCTCCCCACCACAGCAACTGTTCCTGGCGGGTAACCACATCTCCTCCCTCGCATCACTGCCTCGACTCCCCTCCCTCGAGGCATGGGTCCTGCTATTTTCCCATGCCCACGCCACACCCACACTACACGCACGCCACACCCACGCCACACCCACGCCATGCCCATACTACTCCCACGCTACTCCCACGCTACTCCCACGCTACTCCCACGCTACTCCCACGCTACTCCCATACTCCCACGCTACTCCCACGCTACTCCCACGCCATGCCCATGCCATGCCTGCTCTTTCCCATGCCATGCCCACGTTCTCCTTACCTTCGTGCCTCCTGCTTCACACTCGTTCCATCCAATGCAACCGTTGCCATGCACACTGTTTCTCTCTCCCCTCCCCATCCCCCTCTCTCCTACCCTCAGCTGCTTCTCTCTCCTCCCACCCCAACCCAACCCCTCTTCACCTCTGTTCCCTCTCTTTCCTTACTCCACCCCATGCTTTCCCCCGTCCGTTCTCCCACCCACCCTGTCACCCATCCACCCTCCCGTCACCCACCCACCCCTCTACCCACTACACCCCTCAGTTTCTCTCAGTGTCTCAGAATTCGCTCTGTCTCATTGACATGCCGTCCCAACCCCGCCTCAAGGTGCGCATCCACAACCTGTCTCAACCGAGCTGAACCGAGCATAGCACAAACACACCCCCCTCCCTACTGCACCCGCCAGTTCCTCTCCTGCCACCAATCTTCCTGTCTCTCTGTTTTCCAATCTGCCCCTCTCTCTGTTTTCCAATCTGCCCCTCTCTCTGTTTTCCAATCCGCCCCTCTCTCTGCTTTCCAATTTGCCCCTCTCTCTGTTTTCCAATCCGCCCCTCTCTCTGCTTTCCAATCTGCCCCTCTCTCTGTTTTCCAATCCGCCCCTCTCTCTGCTTTCCAATCTGCCCCTCTCTCTGTTTTCTAATCTGCTCCTCTCTTTTCCACCAGGTGCTCACAGCCAGTAGCAACAGCATTGCCTCCTTCGAATCTAGTCGGATTTTGAGAGCCCTCTGAAACCATCTCTCTGCCAATGCGCCTCTTTCTTCTGCCTCTCTTTGCCCACACACAATCTGCCCCCTCCAGGTGGTCACAGCCAGCAGCAACAGCATCGCCTCCTTCGAATCCTTCCCCCTCCTGCCCGCTCTGGAGGTCCGTGCCCCACCTTGCCCCACCTTGCCCCACCTTGCCCCACCTTGCCCCACCTTGCCCCACCTTGCCCCACCTTGCCCCACCTTGCCCCACCTTGACCCACCTTTCCCCACCTTGACCCACCTTTCCCCACCTTGACCCACCTTTTTCCCACCTTGACCCACCTTGCCCTTCTTACCCGCCCTAGAGGCCCCTGCCCCACCTTGCCCGCCTACCTATCCATGCTCCGAGTGCCATGCCCTCTGAGCCCTGTGCCCCATGCTCCATGTACCCGTGTTCCATGCCCTTTGTGCTCTTTGCTCCGTGCCATGCAACTCTCCACCCCCTAGAGGACGCCCCTGCTCCCCCCATAGAGGGTAGCTGAGAGGGGCAGCGCCAATAAGCCTCTCCTTCGCTCCCTCCCTTTCCCCCTTCTCCTGCGCCCAACTAACAGCACCTGCGTCTGGATGACAACCCAATAGAGGACGTCCCTGCTCCCTCCATAAGGGATAATTGTGAGGGGCAGAGCCAGCGAACCTTCCTCTTCTACCTCCCTCTCCCCCCCCCACCAACTAACAGCACCTGCGACTGGATGACAACCCCATAGAGGACGCCCCTGCTCTCCTAGTCGAGGAGAACAGTGAGGGGCCTCAGCCTTGTTCTCCTTCACCCTTTCCCTCTTTACCCCCCTTCAGCACCTGCGTCTGGACGACAACCCAATAGAGGACGCCCCTGCTCCGCACTTGGCTGCCATTCTGCTCGCCGCCTCCTCTCTTCTCTCCAACTCCTCAGGTGCCTCCTCCTCCTCCCTGCTCTCCTCATCCTGCAGGGTGTTTTTGAGAATTCTCAAAAACATCCTCCTCCCTGCTCTCCTCATCCTGCAGGGTGTTTTTGAGAATTCTCAAAAACATCCTCCTCCCTGCTCTCCTCACCTTCCTTGTCTTGTATCCCTCCCCTCCTTGTATTTATTCTCAGACATCAATGCAGCAGCTTGTGCTTCATGTTTGCGCGTGCGCACCTCTGCATGTGTGCGCGCCTCTGCATGTGTGCGCGCCTCTGCATGTGTGCGCGCCTCTGCATGTGTGTGCGCCTCTGCATGTGTGCGCGCCTCTGCATGTGTGCGCTTCTGTGTGCCTGTGTGTGTGCGTGCATGCGTGCATGTCTCTGTGTGTTTACCCGTGGATGTGCGCACGCGCATGCATGCATGCATGTGTGTGTGAGCAGCTATAAGTGATGATGAGCGTTTAGCAGTGGAAGAAGCGGGGGGAGGGCACGGGCCCATGTGTGTGCGCATGGGATGGCTGCCTCCGTCCCCTTCCATTAGCGACATACCAGGTACCACCTGTGGTGGGTGAATGGCGCTTGCAGGCTCACAAGGTGGGGTTGGGAGGGGAGGGCACGGGCCCATGTGTGTGCATGGGGTGGCCGCCGCCGTCCCCTCTAATTGATGTCATACCAGGTAGGTACCACCTATGCCTCTGCTCCTCACAGCAATTGCTTGCTACAGGTGCCCACATGTGTGGGGGGAGGGCACGGGCCCATGTGTGTGCGCATGGGATGGCTACCACCACCTCTTCCTCTGCTCCTCACCTCACCCACCCCTGCCCCTCGTGTAATGAGTCGAGTTTTGAGTCGACTCAAAACCGGGCCCATGTGTGTGCGCATGGGATGGCTACCACCTCTTCCTCTGCTCCTCACCCACCTCTGCCCCTCCCCTTGCCCCTGCACCTCCACCTGTTCCTACCAGTGTCCCTGCCCTCACATTCATCTGGCCCCCCTCCCCCCTCCCCCCTCTCGTCTCTCACCTTCCCACTCCCCATTCCCTCTTCCCCTCTCCCTCGTTCCCTCCTCCCTTCTTCCCTCTCCCCACTTCCCCAGCCTCCCTGGTGTCTTTCCTGGCGGCCCACTGGGCACCCATGCTCCCTGCCGGCTACACCCTTTGCCTCGCTGCTGCTGGACCGCCCCATACCTTTTCAATCCCTCAACTGTGTGTGCCTGCCCTGTGTCTCCGTTCCCCCCCACCTCCCCCTGTCCTCCCAGCCTCCCTGGTGACCTTTCTCGCCACCCACTGGGCATCAACGCTTCCTGCCGGCTTCACCCTCTCGTCGCTGCTGCTCGACCGGCCCATAGAGGACCGCCCCTGCCACTGCCGCCTGCTGCTGCAGCGCACTGGTGGTGGTGCACGGGCGAGGGAGGATGGGGAGGAGGATTGGGGCGAGGATGGGGTGAAAGATGGGGGGCAGGATGGGGGGAAGGATGGGGGACCAGATAGGGAGGAGGTTGTGGGTGAGGATGTGGGAGTTGAAGAGAGAGAGGAGGGAGTTGGGCCAAGGGAGAGGGGAAAGGAGAGGGAGGGAGGGGAGGAGGAATCATCAGTGTCATCGGGTGTGGCGATGCGGTATGAGTGGCTGCGGCGGGGCAAAGGGGCTGCGGAGTTCAGCGCCATTCCCGATGCTGAGGGGGAGGTGAGGAGGCATCTTTGAAAAATTTCAGGGCGATAAGAAAGTGGGAGGGCCATGTGTTCTCTTTCGCCACTGCCTACACTACCCTTTGGGCCACCATAGCCATTGCTATATCCTGCTCATCACAACCACTGCTACACTACACTGGCCTTGGCCCACAACATTCATCAAATCCCAACCCATCTCACTACACACACCCCTTCTCAGATGTGCATGCATGCCTTGCTGTGCGGTGCACCTTTTGCCTCCATGCCTTGTCGTATTTCTCAATAAGCTTACTGTCCACCCTCTCTCATCTCATCCCACCAGATGTACACGCCCTCCTTCTCAGACGTGCGCGTGTCACTCACCGTCCGTCCTTCCCACACCCGTCCCTCCCTCACCCGTCCCTCCATCCCACCACCCTGTCGCCCATCTCACCAGGTCTACACGCCCTCCTTCTCAGACGTGCATGCGTGTCTCGCTGTGCGCTGCACCCCGCTGCTCCACGGCCAGCCCTGCACGCCCCTTATCCTCACCACGCCACCAGTCGCCCCTGGTAGGTCCCCTCTCCCACTCCCAGGGGTTGTGTTTTCTCAGACGTGCATGCGTGTCTCGCTGTGCGCTACACCCCGCTGCTCCACGGCCACCCCTGCACGCCACTCCTCCTCACCTCTCCACCAGTCGCCCCTGGTACGTTCCCACTCCCACCCACTCCCATGAGGAGGTGTGTGTTCCCACTACCACGGCCAGCCCTGCACGCCACTCCTCCTCACCACGCCGCCAGTCATCCCTGGTATGTTCCCAATTCAACACCAGAGACGACCGGTGTATGTATGTGCCATGCTGTGAGGTCGTGTGGTGTCTCGCTGTGCGCTGCACCCCGCTGCTCCACGCCCAGCCCTGCACGACCACGCCACCAGTCGCCCCTGGTAGGTCCCCTCTCCCACTCCCAGGGGTTGTGTTTTCTCAGGCTTGCATGCGTGTCTCGCTGTGCGCTGCACCCCGCTGCTCCACGGCCAGCCCTGCACGCCCCTTACGCTCACCACGCCGCCAGTGGCCCCTGGTAGGTGAATACCCCTCACCTCACCCATGCACCCATGCACTTATGCACCATGCATCCATGGTCCCATGCACATGCATTCCTGCACACAGGTCCCGGCATTCCGCGAGTGCAGCATGTGTCGCTGGGATGAGCAGGTGACCATGAGCGGGTCACCATGAGCGGGTCACCATGTCCATGAGCGTCACCTATGGGAGGGGAGGCGGTGGAGGGGGGTGTGCTGACTGCTGCTGTATGTGTATTTGTGTGTTTGTGCTTGCGCATCTGTGTTTGAACCTCTCACGCCTGACGGCCTCCATGCAACCATGCCCCCACACAGGTCCCGGCATCCCTCGAGTGCAGCACATGTCGCTGGGAGGGGAGGTGGTGGAGCCTACGTATGGGTGTGCACATGTGTGTTTGAATCTCTCATGACTGACTGCCTCCCTTCATTATGCTCCCACAGAGGTCCCGGCATACCACGAGTGCACCATGTGTCGCTGGGAGGCGGTGGAGGGGGGCTTGGCGAGGAGACTGTGTGTGTGTGTGTGTTCTCATCTCAGCTGATGTGTGTTTATCTTGCATGAATGCATGTGTGTGTGTGCATGCATGCAGGCCCGGGCATACCACGAGTGCACCATGTGTCGCTGGGAGGGGAGGCGGTGGAGGGGGGCGTGCTGACTGCCATGGTGGAGGTGGGGTGGAGCTCGGGCGAGCCAGGGCCGTGCCAGTACAGGTGAGAAGGAGGGAAAGGGTTGCCCATGCCAGTACAGGTGCGAGTGATAGAGAGGATACCCAGCCTTTGACTGCCATGGTGGAGTATTGAGCACAGATCTTTAGGGGTGTGAGGGCGGTGTGCTGACAGCCATGGTGGAGGTGGGGTGGAGCTCAGGCGAGCCAGGGCCGTGCCATGACAGGTGAGAAGGAGAGGCCATACCCATTGATGCGCCTTTCCATAAGCATAGGTCATTACAGGTGTGAGGGCGGTGTGCTGCTGACAGCCATGGTGGAGGTGGGGTGGAGCTCGGGTGAGCCAGGGCCGTGCCAGTACAGGTGGGAGGGGGGCCGTGCCAGTACAGGTGCTAGCTAGGACAGTGCAGTGCAGTAAAACCTCCAAGATGCTTCAAGATTCTCCCTCTCGGTTGCCCCTTTTGAGGCGCCTCAAAAGTCGTCTCTCTACCCGCAATTTTTATATTGATCGAATTCTTGTTGCTTGGAAGTGTGCACGTAACGTGCAACAGTGCCTGGTTCGCGCGAGGTTACCACCACCCAATTCCAAGACTGCCGAAGACAAACCCGAAGAGTGACTGGACACCTAGGAATTTTCTTTTGTGTCTAGTTGGCGCATTTCTTATCTAGTTACGCGCCCGGGGTAGGATTTCCCTGTGTAGATCTCGAGGCTTGGGTGTTCTTTAAGACCCCTTGCTTGTTCGCTCTTTCACTTTGAACTCTTGCACTGATGAAGGCCTAGCGGGTATGATCCCCGTGCAAAGCTGAAACATGTTTGCTTTCGTCTAGAGTTTGAACTGAGTTGTACGTTCGGATCTTAATCAATTTTTTCGACGGTTACTTTTTTCACTGGTTGACTATCATCCCTTTGCTAAAGGCGACCTTGCCTACTGCTGCCCTTCTTCATGAGCACAGATCCCCAGTACAGGTGGGAGGGGGGCCGTGCCAGTACAGGTGCTAGCTAGGACAGTGCAGTGCAGTAAAACCTCCAAGATGCTTCAAGATTCTCCCTCTCGGTTGCCCCTCCCCTAGGCTTTTTCTCCTTCGTTGCACTTTCCCTACCCACCCACCCAACCTTACCCTGCGCTTGTTCTCGCCCCCTCCCCTGTCCCTCCCAAACCAACGCCTCCTCTTCCTCCTTCTCTACACCCCTCCTCCCATCCCCACCCCCCACCTGTCAGCTGGACCCGCTTGGCACCCACAGCTCAGGGCGGGACAACAAGGGAGGAGGTGCAGAGGGGTGGGGAGGAGTACTCCCTCTCACTGCACGACGTGGGGTGTGTGCTGCAGCTCGCCTTCACCCCGGTGTCTGCTGCAGGGGTGAGGGGGGAACCCGCCTCCGCCACCTCTCCCCCCATTGCTGCCGGTGAGAATGGGTGCAGAGGGGTGGGGAGCGGTGGGTGTGTGCTGCAGCTCTCCTTCACCCCGGTGTCTGCTGCAGGGGTGAGGGGGGAACCCGCCTCTGCCACCTCTCCCCCCATTGCTGCTGGTGAGAGTGGCTGCTTGGTGAGAGTGGCTGCTTGGTGCGAGTGGGCGCAGAGGGGTGCTGCTGGGGGATCTTATGCCTATGATAGCTCACTTTCGCCCCACTCTTATCCCCATGCTTCCCCCCATGCTTCCCTCCACGCTTCCCCCCACGCCCTTCCCCCTCCCCCCTCCAGCGCCCCCCCAGGTGCAGCAGGTGGCGGTGGAGGGGGAAGCACTGCTGGGGGGAGCGCTGCGGGCGAGTCTATGCTTATTTATGCCGGCTCATCTCCTTCCCCTTCCCCCTCCCTCTCTTCCTTCTTTCCCCAGCGCCCCCCCAGGTGCAGCAGGTGGTGGTGGAGGGGGAGGCGCTGCTGGGGGGAGTGCTGCAGGTGATGCTATACCTATGCGGGCTCACTCTCTCCCCATGCTTCCCCCCATGCTTCCCCCCCGTTTCCCTCCACGCCCTTCCCCCTCCCCCCATCCAGCGCCCCCCCAGGTGCAGCAGGTGGCAGTGGAGGGGGAGGCGCTGCTGGGGGGAGTGCTGCGGGCGAGGGGAACTTATTTTGGGGGAGCAGAGGGGGCGAGTTTGCTGCAGTGGTTCCGGGAGGAGGGGGGGAAGGCGGAGGGGGGGTTGGAGGAGGGGGAAGACGGAAGGAGTGCGGCCGGTGCTGGTAGCAACAGTGGTCGTTTGCGGTGAGTGAGTGGGGCGTGGGCGGTGCTGGGGTGTTATGGGTGGTGCTGGGGTGTTATGGGTGGTGCTGGGGTGGTATGAGTGGTGTGAGGGGGTGTGGTGTTGTTTGGTGAGGTGCAACCCTCTCCATCCACTCTTCCCACCACCCTCTCTCCTTTCCCCTCCTCAGACTAGTGCCAGTGGGCGAGGGCAGAGAGTACGCAGTGCAGGCGGACGATGTGGGCTGCTACCTGCTGCTGCGCTACACGCCAGTCGCCTCCTCAGGTGATGCACAGCATACACATGGGTTGTGCTGCTGGTGCTGTGTGCTGCTGCGCTACACACCGCTCGCCTTCAAATAATTTCATGTGGTTCCAGGTGGTTCCATCCAGGTCATTCGTCCCTCATCCCACTGCATCGGGTTTCTGCATGCATTTCTCGTCTCAACAACCCCTTGTCAGTTACCCCTTGTCACCTCATCCCACTCCTCATCACCGCATCTCTGTACCACTGAGCAGGTCTGATCGGAGAGCCAGTCACAGCGCGCTCGCCTATCATCTGCCTCCGTACGTGCCCTTCCCTCCCTTTGCTTCCCTTCACTTCCTGCCCTGCCTTTCCCAGCCTTTTCCATCCCATCCTTGCCTTCCCTTCCCTTCCTGTCCTGCCTTTCCTTGCCATTCCCCTCTGTTTTCGTCCCCTGCTTTCCCTTGCCTTTCCTTTTCCTGGTTTTCCCTACCTCGCCCTACTCTGTCGGGTACATGGGAAAACGAGTCTAGTTTTTCCTCGACTCGTTTGAGGGACTCAAAAAGCTTGAGTTTCAAGTTCGTGTTGGCAAAAAAACTCGGCCGAGTCGAGTTTTACTTCCGAGGTACAAAAAACTCATGAAAAAAACTCGGATTTTTTTAGACTCGCGGGATTTATGTATCGTATGCGAGTCTTAAACAAACTCACGCGTCAAATGTCCCACCAGAGGTGGGGTACAAATGCCAGAATTTTCAAAAATTCAGATCTGGTTTTCCTCCTTTCCAGATCTGAGAAGTAGTACCATTTTTTTTTGTTGTTTCTAGGAGGTCTACGCAACCTAGTTCAGTCCAATCATCCTTCGTTTTCTTCTTAAGATAAATTGCGTTTTGTCGGGTTGAAGTTGGGTGGAAGGACAATACCACCCGCATCCAAACCTGCACCTCAAACCTGCACCTCAAACCTGCACCTCAAACCTGCACCACAAACCTGCACGTCAAACCTGCACCTCAAACCTGCACCTCAAACCTGCACCTCAAACCGGCACGTCAAACCTGCACCTCAAACCTGCACCTCAAACCTGCACGTCAAACCTGCACCTCAAACCTGCACCTCAAACCTGCACCTCAAACCTGCTCGTCAAACCTGCACCTCAAACCTGCACCTCAAACCTGCACCTCAAACCTGCACCTCAAACCTGCACCTCAAACCTGCACCTCAAACCTGCACCTCCAACCTGCACCTCAAACCTGCACCTCCAACCTGCACCTCCAACCTGCACCTCAAACCTGCACCTCCAACCTGCACCTCAAACCTGCACCTCCAACCTGCACCTCCAACCTGCACCTCAAACCTGCACCTCCAACCTGCACCTCAAACCTGGACCTCCAACCTGCACCTCCAACCTGCACCTCAAACCTGCACCTCCAACCTGCACCTCAAACCTGGACCTCCAACCTGCACCTCCAACCTGCACCTCAAACCTGCACCTCCAACCTGCACCTCAAACCTGCACCTCCAACCTGCACCTCCAACCTGCACCTCAAACCTGCACCTCAAACCTGCACCTCCAACCTGCACCTCAAACCTGCACGTCAAACCTGCACCTCAAACCTGCACCTCAAACCTGGACCTCAAACCTGCACGTCAAACCTGCACCTCAAACCTGCACCTCAAACCGGCACCTCAAACCTGCACCTCAAACCTGCACCTCAAGCCTGCACGTCAAACCTGCACCTCAAACCTGCACCTCAAACCTGCACCTCAAACCTGCTCGTCAAACCTGCACCTCAAACCTGCACCTCAAACCTGCACCTCAAACCTGCACCTCAAACCTGCACCTCAAACCTGCACCTCAAACCTGCACCTCCAACCTGCACCTCAAACCTGCACCTCCAACCTGCACCTCCAACCTGCACCTCAAACCTGCACCTCCAACCTGCAGCTCAAACCTGCACCTCCAACCTGCACCTCCAACCTGCACCTCAAACCTGCACCTCCAACCTGCACCTCAAACCTGCACCTCCAACCTGCACCTCCAACCTGCACCTCAAACCTGCACCTCAAACCTGCACCTCCAACCTGCACCTCAAACCTGCACGTCAAACCTGCACCTCAAACCTGCACCTCAAACCTGCACCTCAAACCTGCACGTCAAACCTGCACGTCAAACCTGCACCTCCAACCTGCACCTCAAACCTGCACCTCAAGCCTGCACCTCAAACCTGCACCTCAAACCTGCACCTCAAACCTGCACCTCAAACCTGCACCTCCAACCTGCACCTCAAACCTGCACCTCCAACCTGCACCTCACCATCAGCCCTACCCCATGCCAGCGACGTGGCGATGAGGGGCCACTGGTGGAGGGAGGAGAGGTACGGACGGGTGGAAGGCGGGGAGGTGCGGGTGCGGGCACGGTTGCAATGGGCAGAGGAGGGGCACAGCGTGGGAGAATGGCTCTTCACACTCACAGCCCCTCTTCCCTCTTTCGCACTCCCTTTCCTCCCCACCCATCCTCCACCAGCGCTGCCGCGGGCGAGCGATTTGGCGATTGAGGGGCCGCTGGTGGAGGGTGGGGAGGTGCGGGTGCGAGTGCGGTTGCAATGGGCCGAGGAGGGGCGCAGCGAGGTGGAGTGGTTCTTCACTCACACGCCCCACTCCCTTTCAACTGCGGACCTTCAGCCCATCACTGCTGAGACCCCCAACTCCATGGTGAGTGCAATGGGGTGTGGTGCAGCCCAGTGGGGTGCAGTGCGGTGGGTGGCTTGGTTCTTCACTCACACGCTGCACTCCCTTTTAACTTCGAATCTGCAACCCATCATCTCTGAAACACCCAACTCCATGGTGAGTGCCAGGAGCCGCAACAAGGGGGTGCAGGGGGCGGAGAAGGGAGGGATCTGAGGGGCCTCAAGAGGAGGGGCCTCAAGAGGAGGGGCCTCAAGAGGAGGGGCCTCAAGAGGAGGGGCCTCAAGAGGAGGGGCCTCAAGAGGAGGGGCCTCAAGAGGAGGGGCCCAGTGAGGTGGAATGGTTCTTCACCCACACGCCCCACTTCCTTTCCACTTTCTCTCCCTCCGTCCAACCACCTATAATCCCACCAGGCCCTCACAGTGCCTCTGGAGGCCATGGGGTCGCACGGGGCAGTGCGGCTGGTGCCAGAGTCTGATGCGGGATTGGATTCTCAGCTTCGAGATCCCTTCTCTCCTTTCCCCCTTCTGGCCCCTTTCGTTGGTCGTTTCTCTAACCCCACCAGGCCCTCACAGTGCCTCTGGAGGCCATAGGGTCGCACCTGGCAGTGCGGCTGGTGCCGGTGCGGGCAGATGGGGTCAAGGGCAGGCCTGTGGTCGCCGTGTCCTCTGCTGCAGTCACAGGTGTGTGAATGGTAGGCCTGTGTACTAGTGCAGTGCGGTCACAGGTGTGTGAATGGTAGGCCTGTGTACTAGTGCAGTGCGGTCACAGGTGTGTGAATGGTAGGCCTGTGTACTAGTGCAGTGCGGTCACAGGTGTGTGAATGGTAGGCCTGTGTACTAGTGCAGTGCGGTCACAGGTGTGTGAATGGTAGGCCTGTATACTAGTGCAGTGCGGTCACAGGTGTGTGAATGGTAGGCCTGTGTACTAGTGCAGTGCGGTCACAGGTGTGTGAATGGTAGGCCTGTGTACTAGTGCAGTGCGGTCACAGGTGTGTGAAAGGTAGACATGTGCGCTCGTGCAGTGCGATCACAGGTGGGCGCGTGGATGGCATGACCGGTTGGTGCCAGTGCGGGCAGATGGCGTCAAGGGTCGCCCCTTGACCTTGGTGGCCGGTGGCCGTGTCCTCTGCTGCAGTCACAGGTGGGTGGGTTGTAGGCATTTGTCTGTGTCTAGTAGTGCAGTTCCACGTGTGTGGGCTGTGGGCCTTCCCATGCCCCACCCCTTGGGCCTCATCCCCTCAGAGGGTGAGTCGCAGGTGTTGAGTGTGGACGAGGAGAGTGGGGAGGAGGAGGGGGGGGTGCTGGTGATGGGGCATTACTCTTTCACGCCTATCAGGCACACTCTGTCTGTCTTAACCGTGAGGCTGCTGACCCACACCTTTCTCTGCGCTGCATTCTCCCCCTTCCTCCCGCCCAGAGGGTGAGCCGCAGGTGTTGAGTGCTGGTGGGGGATATTACTCCACTCCACACGTATCAGGGCGATGCTGCTGATTCACCCGTCTCCCATACTGCATTCCCTTTTCACCACCCTGCCCTTCCTTTTCTCCCGCCCAGAGGGCGAGCCGCAAGTGTTGAGTGCGGATATGGAAGGGGAGGAGGAGGAGGGGGGTGTGCTGGTGGGGTATTACACGTACCAGGGAGGGGCCGAGGGGGACTCGCTCCTGGAGTGGTACCGATATGCGGTGAGCAGTGGTTGAATGCGGTGAGTGGTGGTTGAATGCAGTGCGGATATGGAGGGCGAGGAGGAGGAGGGGGGTGTGCTGGTGGGGTATTACACGTACCAGGGAGGGGCCGAGGGGGACTCGCTCCTGGAGTGGTACCGATATGCGGTGAGCAGTGGTTGAATGCGGTGAGTGGTGGTTGAATGCAGTGCGGATATGGAGGGCGAGGAGGAGGAGGGGGGTGTGCTGGTGGGGTATTACACGTACCAGGGAGGGGCCGAGGGGGACTCGCTCCTGGAGTGGTACCGATATGCGGTGAGCAGTGGTTGAATGCGGTGAGTGGTGGTTGAATGCAGTGCGGATATGGAGGGCGAGGAGGAGGAGGGGGGTGTGCTGGTGGGGTATTACACGTACCAGGGAGGGGCCGAGGGGGACTCGCTCCTGGAGTGGTACCGATATGCGGTGAGCAGGGGTGAAATGTGGTGAGTGGTGACGAAATTGAGTGATTGCTGGCGAATTGCGGTGAGTGGTGGCAGTTCTCCGCCCCCCAACCACCACTTTCCACCCACCCACCCACTCGCCCACCCACCTACTCCTTGTCTGCCGCCCAGGACGAGGACGGCCAGCCGGGGCCACACGGCGAGCTGGTAGAAGACGAGGACGGCGAGCAGCCGCGGATGGCGGGGGGCGGCATGAGTCGGCACATGCCGTCCGCTAGCGACGTGGGCTGCTTCCTCTCCTTCCGCGTCACTCCTGTGCGATCCGACGGGGTGGTCGGCACCCCCCAGGCAGTCTGCACGGCCGGCCCGATCCGGGCGGCGCTGCCGTCCGTCAGCGACGTGTGGGTGGAGGGCGATCTGGTGGAGGGCGGGCGGCTGGTGCCCAGGTGGACGTATGCGGGCGGCAGGCAGGGCAACACACGCGTGCAATGGTTCTCGGTACGTGTGAATCCCTTTGTATGCACCCGCTTGCCCATCCCTTTGTATGCACCCGCTTGCCCATCCGCCTGTGCAAGCGAGCTGGCTTCCTTGCTTTCTTGATTTCTTGTGCTGCCAACCCCGACATGCTGCCACACCAGCTCATTCTGTTTGCTTCTGATCACCAACACTTGCACACTGGCAATGACCACCTAGTACCACTTAGTCATTCCAACAACACTCCTCCCAACCCAACTCCCTTACCGCTCCCCTACCCATCCCCACCGCGCTCCAACCCTGCAGATGCTTCCTGACATGAGTGATAAGCGCCGCATCCACCCTCTCAAGCATCAGGGGGAGGAGGAGGGGGAGGAGGATGGGGGATTGAGTGTGGGGGCGGAGGAGGTGGGGCGGGTGGTGGTGGTGGTGTGCGTGCCGGTGAGGGACGATGGGGAGGAGGGCGCTGCTGTTGAGAGCAGTCCTGTAGGGCCCATCATGGCAGGTATGGGCCTGAAGAGGGGGCGAGGAGGGGCCGAGTGGGAGAGAGGCCGGAGGGGAGAAATGGCAGCGCGTTTGCCACTGTGTTCGCATTGTATTGCGCATCTTTCTAGGACCCATCGCAGCACTCTTCAGCCCATCTCTGCACTGCAGCAAGCTGTTCAGCGCACTCTCACCAAGTTTCTCTCATGCTCTCACCCCTCTGCCAGGAGTTCACTGCCGTCCTTCCGCACACTCGTCTCCTCCATTCCATTCTTCCCCTCTCCCTCGCCCCTTCCCCCCCCAATACCCTCCCAGCGCCCCCCTCGTGTGTGAATCTGGCGGTGGAGGGCGATGTGCGGCCGGGAGGGCTCCTCACCTGCCGGGCGCTCTACTGTGGAGGGTAACATGCTGCGCCCTGACTCTGCTGCGCCCAGCCTGTGCTGTGCCTGTTCCGTATCTGTGCATGTCAACAAGCCCTATTACTTTTCTCCCTGTCTATCCACTGCCGCTTGTTTTCTCATGTACCCCATCCGCCCTCCTCCATGCGCCCCCCCCCCCTCCCGTGTGCCCCGTCTGCCTCCCACACATGCCCCATCCGCCCTCCCGGAATCTTTCCTCCATGCAGGCAGCAGGGCGAGTGCCAGGTAGCATGGGTGAGAATGACGCCCTCAGGGGAGGAGCAGCTTGTGGGGCGGCAAGGTGAGGATTGCTTGGGCGGCAAGGTGAGGATTGCTTGGGCGGCAAGGTGAGAGACTATGGGTTGCAGGTGCGGGGACTTTGACATGGCAGGTGTTGAAATGAAATACGCACTCTGAATTTGATCGATACCCAGGTGCTGCCTCCATCCCTCCCTACCGCCTCCCATGCTGGTACACACACGGTGACAGCAGAGGACGTGGGGAGGCGGCTGCGAGCGGAGTTCACTCCACGGTGCCAGGGGAGGACGCACTCTGTCTTTGAGCTGCCTCTTTCCGAGCCGTACACATAACTTTGAACGATCTCCCCGCCCTGCGTGCCTCTCTGCCTAACCGCCCCCCCCTGTGCAGGCACGTACACAGTGACAGCAGAGGACGTGGGGAGTCGGCTGCGAGTGGAGTTCACTCCTGTGCGGGCCGATGGGGCTGCTGGGGAGGTTGCACCCATTTCTGAGGCGCGTCTCTGACTGAAGGTTTCCTCTCGCCCTGCCTGCCGCCCTACCCTACCCCCCCTATCCCCTGCGTAACACCTGCAGGCACGTACACAGTGACAGCAGAGGACGTGGGGAGTCGGCTGCGAGTGGAGTTCACTCCTGTGCGGGCCGATGGGGCTGCTGGGGAGGTTGCACCCATTTCTGAGGCGCGTCTCTGACTGAAGGTTTCCTCTCGCCCTGCCTGCCTTTCTACCCCCCCTATCCCCTGCGTAACACCTGCAGGCACGTACACAGTGACAGCAGAGGACGTGGGGAGTCGCCTGCGAGTGGAGTTCACTCCTGTGCGAGCCGATGGGGCTGCTGGGGAGGTGGCTGCCATGTCTGTCTGGGGCGCTTCTCTGACTGAACGGTGCTTCTCACTCTGCCTCCCTGCTTCCCTGCCCCCTCCCATGCAGGCATGTACACGGTGGCAGTCGAGGACGTGGGGAGTCGCCTGCGAGTGGAGTTCACTCCCGTGCGGGCCGATGGGGCCGTTGGGGAGGTGGCTGCTATCACCACCGATACAGTCACACCAGGTGCTCCCTTTATGTTTCTCTTCAGTGCACTGCTGCATTCACTCCCGTGCGGGCCGATGGGGCTGTTGGGGGGGTGGCTGCTCTCACCACCAGTATAGTCACACCAGGTGTTGCCAGTCGCACCAGGTGTTGCCAGTCGCACCAGGTGCTGCCAGTCGGCCCTTCATGGCTGCTGTGTGGAAGCTGCTACAGGCACACCACGCATGCACTTCAGGTCACCCACATTTGCCACCAGCCGCTCGCCTGCTCTTCCTGTTTCTACCTCCCCCCTGCTCCGCAGCTCCCCCAGTCCCCTGGTCACCCACACCCACGCTCCCTTCCTCCCCTGCCTTTCAGACCGCCGTGTGTGTATCAGTGTGTTGGAGGGGGGCGTATTACAGGCAGGAGGGGAGGGAGATGCACCCCAAAGCCCCATTGTCCCCCACGCTCCCCTTTCTTCCCCACTCCCCTCCCAGACCGCCATGTGAGCATCAGTGTGTTGGAGGGGGGCGTGCTGCAGGCAGGCGGGGAGATGCCCCACCCACCCCCCTCACCCCCACTCAACTGTCTCTTTCCCCTGTCGCCCTCCCTTCCTCCCCACAGACCGCCGTGTGTGCATCAGTGTGTTGGAGGGGGGCGTGCTGCAGGCAGGCGGGGAGGGAGACGCCCCCAAACGCCCCATTGTCCCCCACGTTCCCCTTTCTTCCCCACTCCCCTCCCAGACCGCCGTGTGTGCATCAGTGTGTTGGAGGGGGGCGTGTTACAGAAGAGGGAGGGGAAATGCCCCTCAACGCCCCATTGTCCCCCCCACTCCCTCGCTTCCCCATTCCCCTTCCCACAGACCGTCGTGTGTGCATCAGTGTGTTGGAGGGGGGCGTGCTGCAGGCTGCTGGGGAGATGCCCCACCCACTCCCCTTCACTCCCTCCTCTCCAATACCCCACATACCCCAATGTCTCCCTGATTTGTTCCCCACAGATCGCCGTGTGAGCATCAGTGTGTTGGAGGGGGGCGTGTTGCAGGCAGGAGGGGAGATGCTAGAGCGCGCTGCAGGGGGGGAGATGCCCCACCCACTCCCCTTCACCCCCTCCTCGCCAATACCCCACATACCCCAATGTCCCCCTGATTTGTTCCCCACAGATCGCCGTGTGTGTATCAGTGTGTTGGAGGGGGGCGTGTTGCAGGCAGGAGGGGAGATGCTAGAGCGCGCTGCAGGGGGGGAGATGCCCCACCCACTCCCCTTCACCCCCTCCTCGCCAATACCCCACATACCCCAATGTCCCCCTGATTTGTTCCCCACAGATCGCCGTGTGTGTATCAGTGTGTTGGAGGGGGGCGTGTTGCAGGCAGGAGGGGAGATGCTAGAGCGCGCTGCAGGGGGGGAGATGCCCCACCCACTCCCCTTCACCCCCTCCTCGCCAATACCCCACATACCCCAATGTCCCCCTGATTTGTTCCCCACAGATCGCCGTGTGTGTATCAGTGTGTTGGAGGGGGGCGTGTTGCAGGCAGGAGGGGAGATGCTAGAGCGCGCTGCAGGGGGGGAGATGCCCCACCCACTCCCCTTCACCCCCTCCTCGCCAATACCCCACATACCCCAATGTCCCCCTGATTTGTTCCCCACAGATCGCCGTGTGTGTATCAGTGTGTTGGAGGGGGGCGTGTTACAGGCAGGAGGAGAGATGCTAGAGCGCGCTGCAGGGGGGGAGAGGGGAGGGGGAGAAGGCGGGCTGGGGGAGGGGAGATCGGGGGAGGGTGGAAGGGGAGAGAGGGGAGCGGGGGAGGGGGACGTGTGGGTGGCATGGTACATGCAGGGGCGGGATGGGCGGATGGAGCGGATAGAGGGAGCAGAAGGGCGCACGTATGTGCCTCAGGAGGCTGATTATGGTTGCTGTGTGGTGGCGGGGTGAGTGGGATTTATGGGGGGGCGTATGAGTATTGATGCACGCACCTCAATAGGCGCATAGAGGGAGGGGAGGCTGATTATGGCTGCTATGTGGTGGCGGGGTGAGTGGGTATCCATTGCGGCTGGGCTGCTGTGGTGACTCATAAGGGTGATTGGGAGTTTGTGATGACGCCATGTCATTGCTCTCTCTGTGCTGCCTTCACACTCCTCCCTGCACCACCCTCTCCCTCTTCACTCCCCTGCTAGCTCCCCCACTCCCTACCCGACCCCTCCCCTTTTCGCCCAGCCCAAGCAACTGTCACTGTTAGAATCACATAAAGTCACTGCTTTCACCCACTCCCTCTGCTCCCTCGCTCCCGCCTTGCGCCACCGGCTGTCGGCCGTGGCAATCCGATGGCACGTGGAGCGACGAGGTGCTCTCTGCCCCAGGGCCCATTGTCCGCCATTTCCCCCTTCACTCCCTCCCTTCCACCCCCTCCCTCACTCCTTCGCTTCCACTCCCCTTCTCCCTGCGCCACCAGCTGTCGCCCGTGGCTATCTGATGGCACATGGGGCGACGAGGTGATACCTGCTCCGGGGCCCATCATGCCCCATTCCCTCCCTCACTCCCTCTCCCACTCCCTCCCCAACTCCCTCCCTTCCCCTCCCCCTCTCCCTACCCCACCAGCTGTCGCCCGTGGCTATCTGATGGCACATGGGGCGACGAGGTGCTCTCTGCCCCAGGTCCCATCGTGCTGCCAGGTCAGCTTGTGTTGCCAAGTTAGCTTGTATTGCCACATCAGCTTGTATTGCCACGTCAGTATGCATTGCCAGATCAGCCTCCATGATCTCTGGTAAGTGCCATGTTCCTTCTTTCTCATTCACTCCTCTCAAAATCCCCATACCCCAACCACCCCTCACCACCCCTCACCATCCCCACCACCCCCCACCAACCACCACCAACCCCCATCACCCTACACTACCCCTCACCACCGCACACCAGAGCTGTCGGACGAGGAGGCGGTGTCACTGGAGGTGGAGGGGCGGGCAGAGGTGGGAGCAGTGCTGCACGCCCTGCATGCTGTGTCGCCCGCCCTGGAGCCCTTCGTCACAGCTGTTCACATGCAGTGGTGAGTCCCAGAAACACAGGCACTGGTGAGCCCAGCTCATTTGCGCTGGTGAGCTGTGAGTCGAGTTGACCCACCACTGCTGCACGCCCTGCATGCTGTGTCGCCCGCCCTGGAGCCCTTCGTCACAGCTGTTCACATGCAGTGGTGAGTCCCAGAAACACAGGCACTGGTGAGCCCAGCTCATTTGCGCTGGTGAGCTGTGAGTCGAGTTGACCCACCACTGCTGCACGCCCTGCATGCTGTGTCGCCCGCCCTGGAGCCCTTCGTCACAGCTGTTCACATGCAGTGGTGAGTCCCAGAAACACAGGCACTGGTGAGCCCAGCTCATTTGCGCTGGTGAGCTGTGAGTCGAGTTGACCCACCACTGCTGCACGCCCTGCATGCTGTGTCGCCCGCCCTGGAGCCCTTCGTCACAGCTGTTCACATGCAGTGGTGAGTCCCAGAAACACAGGCACTGGTGAGCCCAGCTCATTTGCGCTGGTGAGCTGTGAGTCGAGTTGACCCACCACTGCTGCACGCCCTGCATGCTGTGTCGCCCGCCCTGGAGCCCTTCGTCACAGCTGTTCACATGCAGTGGTGAGTCCCAGAAACACAGGCACTGGTGAGCCCAGCTCATTTGCGCTGGTGAGCTGTGAGTCGAGTTGACCCACCACTGCTGCACGCCCTGCATGCTGTGTCGCCCGCCCTGGAGCCCTTCGTCACAGCTGTTCACATGCAGTGGTGAGTCCCAGAAACACAGGCACTGGTGAGCCCAGCTCATTTGCGCTGGTGAGCTGTGAGTCGAGTTGACCCACCACTGCTGCACGCCCTGCATGCTGTGTCGCCCGCCCTGGAGCCCTTCGTCACAGCTGTTCACATGCAGTGGTGAGTCCCAGAAACACAGGCACTGGTGAGCCCAGCTCATTTGCGCTGGTGAGCTGTGAGTCGAGTTGACCCACCACTGCTGCACGCCCTGCATGCTGTGTCGCCCGCCCTGGAGCCCTTCGTCACAGCTGTTCACATGCAGTGGTGAGTCCCAGAAACACAGGCACTGGTGAGCCCAGCTCATTTGCGCTGGTGAGCTGTGAGTCGAGTTGACCCACCACTGCTGCACGCCCTGCATGCTGTGTCGCCCGCCCTGGAGCCCTTCGTCACAGCTGTTCACATGCAGTGGTGAGTCCCAGAAACACAGGCACTGGTGAGCCCAGCTCATTTGCGCTGGTGAGCTGTGAGTCGAGTTGACCCACCACTGCTGCACGCCCTGCATGCTGTGTCGCCCGCCCTGGAGCCCTTCGTCACAGCTGTTCACATGCAGTGGTGAGTCCCAGAAACACAGGCACTGGTGAGCCCAGCTCATTTGCGCTGGTGAGCTGTGAGTCGAGTTGACCCACCACTGCTGCACGCCCTGCATGCTGTGTCGCCCGCCCTGGAGCCCTTCGTCACAGCTGTTCACATGCAGTGGTGAGTCCCAGAAACACAGGCACTGGTGAGCCCAGCTCATTTGCGCTGGTGAGCTGTGAGTCGAGTTGACCCACCACTGCTGCACGCCCTGCATGCTGTGTCGCCCGCCCTGGAGCCCTTCGTCACAGCTGTTCACATGCAGTGGTGAGTCCCAGAAACACAGGCACTGGTGAGCCCAGCTCATTTGCGCTGGTGAGCTGTGAGTCGAGTTGACCCACCACTGCTGCACGCCCTGCATGCTGTGTCGCCCGCCCTGGAGCCCTTCGTCACAGCTGTTCACATGCAGTGGTGAGTCCCAGAAACACAGGCACTGGTGAGCCCAGCTCATTTGCGCTGGTGAGCTGTGAGTCGAGTTGACCCACCACTGCTGCACGCCCTGCATGCTGTGTCGCCCGCCCTGGAGCCCTTCGTCACAGCTGTTCACATGCAGTGGTGAGTCCCAGAAACACAGGCACTGGTGAGCCCAGCTCATTTGCGCTGGTGAGCTGTGAGTCGAGTTGACCCACCACTGCTGCACGCCCTGCATGCTGTGTCGCCCGCCCTGGAGCCCTTCGTCACAGCTGTTCACATGCAGTGGTGAGTCCCAGAAACACAGGCACTGGTGAGCCCAGCTCATTTGCGCTGGTGAGCTGTGAGTCGAGTTGACCCACCACTGCTGCACGCCCTGCATGCTGTGTCGCCCGCCCTGGAGCCCTTCGTCACAGCTGTTCACATGCAGTGGTGAGTCCCAGAAACACAGGCACTGGTGAGCCCAGCTCATTTGCGCTGGTGAGCTGTGAGTCGAGTTGACCCACCACTGCTGCACGCCCTGCATGCTGTGTCGCCCGCCCTGGAGCCCTTCGTCACAGCTGTTCACATGCAGTGGTGAGTCCCAGAAACACAGGCACTGGTGAGCCCAGCTCATTTGCGCTGGTGAGCTGTGAGTCGAGTTGACCCACCACTGCTGCACGCCCTGCATGCTGTGTCGCCCGCCCTGGAGCCCTTCGTCACAGCTGTTCACATGCAGTGGTGAGTCCCAGAAACACAGGCACTGGTGAGCCCAGCTCATTTGCGCTGGTGAGCTGTGAGTCGAGTTGACCCACCACTGCTGCACGCCCTGCATGCTGTGTCGCCCGCCCTGGAGCCCTTCGTCACAGCTGTTCACATGCAGTGGTGAGTCCCAGAAACACAGGCACTGGTGAGCCCAGCTCATTTGCGCTGGTGAGCTGTGAGTCGAGTTGACCCACCACTGCTGCACGCCCTGCATGCTGTGTCGCCCGCCCTGGAGCCCTTCGTCACAGCTGTTCACATGCAGTGGTGAGTCCCAGAAACACAGGCACTGGTGAGCCCAGCTCATTTGCGCTGGTGAGCTGTGAGTCGAGTTGACCCACCACTGCTGCACGCCCTGCATGCTGTGTCGCCCGCCCTGGAGCCCTTCGTCACAGCTGTTCACATGCAGTGGTGAGTCCCAGAAACACAGGCACTGGTGAGCCCAGCTCATTTGCGCTGGTGAGCTGTGAGTCGAGTTGACCCACCACTGCTGCACGCCCTGCATGCTGTGTCGCCCGCCCTGGAGCCCTTCGTCACAGCTGTTCACATGCAGTGGTGAGTCCCAGAAACACAGGCACTGGTGAGCCCAGCTCATTTGCGCTGGTGAGCTGTGAGTCGAGTTGACCCACCACTGCTGCACGCCCTGCATGCTGTGTCGCCCGCCCTGGAGCCCTTCGTCACAGCTGTTCACATGCAGTGGTGAGTCCCAGAAACACAGGCACTGGTGAGCCCAGCTCATTTGCGCTGGTGAGCTGTGAGTCGAGTTGACCCACCACTGCTGCACGCCCTGCATGCTGTGTCGCCCGCCCTGGAGCCCTTCGTCACAGCTGTTCACATGCAGTGGTGAGTCCCAGAAACACAGGCACTGGTGAGCCCAGCTCATTTGCGCTGGTGAGCTGTGAGTCGAGTTGACCCACCACTGCTGCACGCCCTGCATGCTGTGTCGCCCGCCCTGGAGCCCTTCGTCACAGCTGTTCACATGCAGTGGTGAGTCCCAGAAACACAGGCACTGGTGAGCCCAGCTCATTTGCGCTGGTGAGCTGTGAGTCGAGTTGACCCACCACTGCTGCACGCCCTGCATGCTGTGTCGCCCGCCCTGGAGCCCTTCGTCACAGCTGTTCACATGCAGTGGTGAGTCCCAGAAACACAGGCACTGGTGAGCCCAGCTCATTTGCGCTGGTGAGCTGTGAGTCGAGTTGACCCACCACTGCTGCACGCCCTGCATGCTGTGTCGCCCGCCCTGGAGCCCTTCGTCACAGCTGTTCACATGCAGTGGTGAGTCCCAGAAACACAGGCACTGGTGAGCCCAGCTCATTTGCGCTGGTGAGCTGTGAGTCGAGTTGACCCACCACTGCTGCACGCCCTGCATGCTGTGTCGCCCGCCCTGGAGCCCTTCGTCACAGCTGTTCACATGCAGTGGTGAGTCCCAGAAACACAGGCACTGGTGAGCCCAGCTCATTTGCGCTGGTGAGCTGTGAGTCGAGTTGACCCACCACTGCTGCACGCCCTGCATGCTGTGTCGCCCGCCCTGGAGCCCTTCGTCACAGCTGTTCACATGCAGTGGTGAGTCCCAGAAACACAGGCACTGGTGAGCCCAGCTCATTTGCGCTGGTGAGCTGTGAGTCGAGTTGACCCACCACTGCTGCACGCCCTGCATGCTGTGTCGCCCGCCCTGGAGCCCTTCGTCACAGCTGTTCACATGCAGTGGTGAGTCCCAGAAACACAGGCACTGGTGAGCCCAGCTCATTTGCGCTGGTGAGCTGTGAGTCGAGTTGACCCACCACTGCTGCACGCCCTGCATGCTGTGTCGCCCGCCCTGGAGCCCTTCGTCACAGCTGTTCACATGCAGTGGTGAGTCCCAGAAACACAGGCACTGGTGAGCCCAGCTCATTTGCGCTGGTGAGCTGTGAGTCGAGTTGACCCACCACTGCTGCACGCCCTGCATGCTGTGTCGCCCGCCCTGGAGCCCTTCGTCACAGCTGTTCACATGCAGTGGTGAGTCCCAGAAACACAGGCACTGGTGAGCCCAGCTCATTTGCGCTGGTGAGCTGTGAGTCGAGTTGACCCACCACTGCTGCACGCCCTGCATGCTGTGTCGCCCGCCCTGGAGCCCTTCGTCACAGCTGTTCACATGCAGTGGTGAGTCCCAGAAACACAGGCACTGGTGAGCCCAGCTCATTTGCGCTGGTGAGCTGTGAGTCGAGTTGACCCACCACTGCGGCACGCCCTGCATGCTGTGTCGCCCGCCCTGGAGCCCTTCGTCACAGCTGTTCACATGCAGTGGTGAGTCCCAGAAACACAGGCACTGGTGAGCCCAGCTCATTTGCGCTGGTGAGCTGTGAGTCGAGTTGACCCACCACTGCTGCACGCCCTGCATGCTGTGTCGCCCGCCCTGGAGCCCTTCGTCACAGCTGTTCACATGCAGTGGTGAGTCCCAGAAACACAGGCACTGGTGAGCCCAGCTCATTTGCGCTGGTGAGCTGTGAGTCGAGTTGACCCACCACTGCTGCACGCCCTGCATGCTGTGTCGC